CAGGAGAGGGGGTGACGGAGGCAGGGCACGGGCAGGAGAGGGGGTGATGGAGGCAGGGCACCGGCAGGAGAGGGTGTGGCCGAGGCAGTGGATGGGCAGGAGAGGGGGTCGCCGAGGCCTGCTTGTGGTCACAGGACACACGGTGAGAGAAAAATGAGTAAACGCAGTGGAAGTTGAGGAGGGAGGTTGGGTTCAGAGGGGAGTTTGTGAGCATTGTTCTAGATGGTGGGACAGTGCCCAGCGATGATGGAGGCTGAGTGTACCTGTGGAAATGTGTGGCCAAGGGGTGTGAGGGCAGAGGGCCGCAGAGCTGAGGAACCCCTGAGACTCTGGGGGGTCTCTGACATCATGCGGGACCTGGGATTGGAGGTGGGAGGAGTGATGGAGGCAGGTGCCGGAGTACCCAAGGAAGGAGGGCGTGGCAGGGAACACATTACTGACCGCACTTGGACAAGCGGAATGTGCAATGAGACTCCACAAAGCCTAGGTTCTCAAGGGGTATGGAGCCAGGGACAGATTGGTCATTGTGTTGGGGACAGAGGAAGACAAGTTTTGCCATTAGGTGGCCCTAAATTCATCTGCTCAGCAAAGTAAAGGCTCAATGTGGAAGCCAGAACTTGTATTTGAAGAAGGACGGGAAGAATGAACTGAGGAGGGCCTGTCCCCAGCAGCTCAAGAGGGAGGAGGCTGTGGGGACTTGGAGTGTCCCATTTCTTCCAGAGCACCGTCCTGAGAGTGCTTTGGGAAGAAGGGAGGCGCGTCCTGCCTCCCGGCTGCCCTGTTTCTGTACGAGTCACAGGATGGCGGCCCTTGTCCTACCCGCCACCGGTGGCAAGTCGTGGGGTCTTGGCATTTCTCAGGCTTGAAAGGCTCTGACCCTCAGCCTGGGAAGGGAGGGGGCTGGGCAGAGCAGGTGAGGCAGGAGTGGAGCACCAGGGGCCCAGAGGTCCTCCGTGTCCAATCGGGTGGCTCTTGGGATTTGGGACTTAGGTGTTTGGGTGTCTGGATGTGACCTGTGTAGTGAATGTGCTGGAGCTTTTGAATTCTCCCTTTATTTCTTTCTGTGAACCTGATAAAAACACCGTGATGTCCATGGCCTGTTTCCTCATCTGTGAAGTGGGAATAATCTCTTCCCCAAGTGCAGTCAGACCTTGAGCCCTGTTACCTTTTGTTGGGGAGACGGCTGTTTGGGTGTCTTAGGAGAGCTGTGAGTAGGTGTTTGCAGGGAGTGTAGGTAGGTGCTGTGTGGGTATAGGAGGGGGATATGGTCAGTCACAGGCAGATATATGTGTGTTAGACAAGCCTGAATCCCTGGGACTCATTTCTCCTCCTCCAGCTGCGTCTTCCCCGTTCCCAGCCTCTCAGCAAAAAGGACACACAGAAGGCCGAGGGCTGGTTAATGAGCTCCTGACAAGCTAGCTACAGGTGAGTTGGATGCTCCTTTTCCCAAATCGTTATTTCTTTAGCCAGAAGGTTGGATTTGATACCTCCCAGCAGCCTGGAGCCTCGCAGCCAAACTGGCTCCTGAGGCATCCCAGGATTTCCAGGCATCTGATGGAGGGTCAGGGCTGCCCAGAAAATGTCAGTGTGTGTGGATGGTTACTGCAGGTTCAAAGCTTTCTCCAGGGTCCCTACGTACATCATGTGCTCCTGAGAGTTTTAAGGGAAAGCCAAGTAAAGGTGTAACGATGTTCCAAGCCCAAGCAGTTTATAAAAGCCATACGGAAATCGTTCATTCACTTGCCAAGTATTCCTCTGATTTCTGCCATGTCCCAGGCCCATGCTCCCCTGGAGACTGAGAGAATAAGATCACAGGAGCCCCCAGTCTGAGAGAGAAAAGACAGTTGCTCTGGGGTACTGTGCATTAAACCTGAGGAGTGGCCTAAGGAGTCGAGCATTGAGGGCTGAGCCTGGAAGCCAGGGAGAGGAGCTCAGAACCCGCCCCACATCTCGTGCTCAGGTTTCCCCAGCCCTGGCTCTGTTCTCCTGGGCCCTCTTCCTGTGCAGTTGGTGAGGGTGGTCCTCAACTGTGATGTTTGCGATGCTTTAGGGGTTGGTGACCTTCGAGGATGTGGCCATGGAGTTCACCCAGGAGGAGTGGGCGTTGCTGGCCCCTGCCCAAAGGATGCTATACAGGAACGTGATGCTGGAGAACTGCAGGAACCTGGCCTCCTCACTGGGTAAGCCTGATGCCATTCCTGCATTTATTTAATGACTCAGGAGGTAAGCCTTTTTTTCTTTTTTTTAAATTGAGGTAACATTCACAGGACAGAAAAGTCACCATTTAAACTATTTTTTTTAAGTGTCCAATTCAGTGGCTTTTCATATGTTCACAGTGTACAACCACCACCACTAATTACAGAGCATAGTTGTCATGCCACAAATAAGCCCCGTAGTCATTAAGTGGTCACTCCCCATTCCTCCCTCCTGAAAACCTTGGCAGCCACTAATCATTCTGTCTCTATGGGTGTGTCTCCTCTTTTTGTGGGGGTGATTTTTGGACAGTGTCTCCCTCCATCACCCAGGCTATAGTGCAGTGTGGCATGACCCTGAGTAGCTGGGACCACAGGTGTGCACCACCACGCCCAGCTAATTTGTGTATGTTTTTGTGGAGACAGGGTCTTGCTATGTTGCCCGGGCTGGTCTTGAACTCCTGGGCTCAGGCAATCCTGCCTTAGCTTGCCAAAGTGCTGGTATTATAGCTGTGAGCCACCATGGCTGGCTCTGTTCTTGACATTTTATATAAATGGGATCATACAAAATGTGGTCTTTTGTGTCTTACTTTTTCTTCAGCATAATCTTATCTTTTTTTTTTTTTTGAGATGGGGTTTTACTCTATTGCCCCAGACTGGAGTGCAGTGGTGGGATCTCGGCTCACTGCAGCATCCACCCCCCAGGTTCAGTCTGTTCTCCTGCCTTAGCCTACCAAATAGCTGGGACTACAGGCATGTGGCACTAGGCAAATTTTTGTATTTTTAATAGAGGCGAGGTTTCACCATGTTGGCCAGGCTGATGGTTTTCAACTCCTGGCCACCCACCTTGGCTTCCCAAAGTGCTGGGATTGCAGGTGTGAGCCACCACGCCTGGCCGATGTTCTCAAAGTATAACCATGTTGTAGCAGATATCTGAACTTCATTCTTCTTGTGATTGAATATTATTCCATTATGTGAATAACCACTTTTTATCTATCAGTTCATCAGCTGATGGAAATTTGGCCTATTCTCACCTTTTGGCTCTTGTGGGTAGTGTGCTATGAACATTCATGTACGAGACGTTGCTTGAACACCGGTTTTCTCTTGGGTATATACCTAGGAGTGGAGTATCTGTGGTAATTCTGTGTTTGATGTGTTGGGGAGCCTCCACACTTTTCCACACCTACTGTACCATTTTACTTTCTACCAGCAGTGTATGAGACCAGCAATGTATTACAGTTTCTCTGCATCCTTACCAACATTTCTCTCTTCCATTAAAAAAAAAAAAAATTATTGGCCGGGCGCGGTGGCTCAAGCCTGTAATCCCAGCACTTTGGGAGGCCGAGGCGGGTGGATCACGAGGTCAAGAGATCGAGACCATCCTGGTCACCATGGTGAAACCCCGTCTCTACTAAAAATACAAAAAATTAGCTGGGCATGGTGGCGCGTGCCTGTAATCCCAGCTACTCAGGAGGCTGGGGCAGGAGAATTGCCTGAACCCGGGAGGCGGAGGTTGTGGTGAGCCGAGATCGCGCCATTGCACTCCAGCCTGGGTAACAAGAGCGAAACTCCGTCTCAAAAAAAAAAAAAAAAAAATTATTATAGCCATTTTTGTGGGTGTCATCTCATTGTGGTTTTTATTTCCTTTTTTTTTTTTTTTTTTTTTTGAGATGGAGTCTGACTCTCGTCCAGGCTGGAAAGCAGTGGCACAATCTCAGCTCACTGCAACCTCCGCTTTCCTGGTTTAAGCGATTCTCCTGCCTAAGCCTCCCAAGTAGCTAGGATTACAGGCATGCACCACTACACCAGGCTAATTTTTGTAGTTTTAGTAGAGATGGGGTTCTCCATGTTGGCCAGGCTGGTCTCCAACTCCTGACCTCAGGTGATCCTCCCACCTCAGCCTCCCAAAATGCTGAGATACAGGTGTGAGCCACCACACCTGGCTGTGGTTTTTAATTTCTGTTTCCCTAAAAAAATGACGAGATTGGCCATCTTTCCTTGTGCCTGTTGGCCATTTACACATCTATTTTGGAGAAATGTTCATTCACATCCTTTTTTCATTTGGGGGCATTGTTTGCCTTTTTGATACTGAGTTGTAAGAGTTCTTTACATGTTCTCAACACTAGACCCTTATCAAATATTATTTATCATTTTCAAATACCTCCTCCCATTCAGTGGATTGCCTTTTTACTGTCTTGAATGATAGTTTTGCAAGAGATAAAATTATTGGTTGATCTTTCAGTACTTGGAGTATGTCATCCCACTGGCTTGTGGCCTCCATGGTTTTTGATGAGAAATCAGCTGTTAATCTTGTACATGATGATTTATTTTGCCCTTGCTATTTTTCAGGATAATCTCTTTGTCTTTGGTTTTTAACAGTTTAATTTTAAGGTATCTCAGTATGAGTTTTTTGAGTGTATCCTATTTGGAGATTGTTGAGCTGCTTGGGTGTATAGACTTGTAATTTTCATCAAATTTGGGAATGTTTGGCTGTCATTTTTCCATATATTCCTTTTTATTTCTTTCTTTCTTTTTTTTTTTTTTTTTCCAGAGACTTGCTTTGTCACCCAGGCTGGAGTGCACTGGCAAGATCTCAGCTCATTGCAACCTCCACCTCCTGGGTTCAAGCAGTTCTCCCTGCCTCAGCCTCCTGAATAGCTGGGATTACAAACGCACACCACCACACCTGGCTAATTTTTGTATTTTCAGTAGAGACAGGGTTTCATCATGTTGGCTAGGCTGGTCTCAAACTCGCGACCTCAGATGATTCTACCACCTCAGCTTTCCAAAGTACTATAACACAGGTGTGAGCTACCGTGATTGACCTATTTTTCCTATATTCCTTCTGCTCCTTTTTCTGCCTCCTCTCCAGTGGCAACTCCCGTTATGTGTATTTGGATGTTTGATGATGTCTTCTGGGTCTCTTAGGCTCTGTTCTTCTTTTTCCCTTTTTAATTTCTCCATTACAGATCAAGCAATCTTTATTGACCTGTCTTCAAGTTCACACTGATTGTGTCTTCCTCCTGATCAAGTCTTCTGATGAACCCCTTCTAGTAAATTTTTCATTTCAGATACTATATTTTTCAATTTTAAAATTCCTGTTTGGCTCCCTTTTATAATTTCCATCTCTTTAGGATTTTCTCTGGTGAGAATTCATTCTCCTGGTTCCATTAGTTCTTTGTACACAATTTCCATTAACTCTTTGAGCATATTTGAAATGGTTGATTTGAAGTTATTGCCTAATAAATCCAATGACTAGGTTTCCTTAGGGACAATTTCTGTTCATTTCTTTTTTTCCTATAATGCAGTTTCATTTCTGTTTATGTGCCTCATAATTTATGTGCTGAAAACTACTTTCAGAATATGACAATATGGCAGTTCTGTAAACCTGATTTTCCCATCCCCAAGGTTTCTTGTAGTTGGTATTGTTTCTTTTGTTTAGTGACATTTCTGCACTAATTTTGTCATATCCATATTTGTTATGTGTGGCCACTGAAGTCTCTGTTCTGTTAGAGTAATGTTCAGCTTGTGACTAATTTGTCAGAGATTTTCTTAAATACCTGAAACCCTAAAGATTACTAGTCTTGTCGATGGATCTGAATTATATGTTGGAGCATGCCTTCAACACTCAGCTAAAGCACTTTACAACTCTGCCTTAGCCTTCAGTTCCTGCTTATGCAGAGCCTGGAGGTCAAAGGTGAGGGCTTGGTGCCTTCTCAGATCTTTTCTCAGCATGTGTTCATCCCTGGATATGTGCATGGCCTTCTAGGAATGTGTGGAGGCCGGGCACAGTGGCTCACACCTGTAATCCCAGCACTTTGGGAGGCCAAGGGGGATGAATCATCTGAGCTCAGGAGTTTGAGTCCAACCTAGCCAAGGTGGTGAAACCCTGTCTCTACTAAAAATACAAAAAAATCAGCCAAGCATGGTGGCACATGCCTATAATCCTAGCTACTCAGGAGGCTGAGGCAGGAGAAGTGCTTGAACCCAGGAGGTGAAGGTTGCAGTGAGCCGAGATCACGTGACTGCACTCCAGCCTGGGCAACGGAGCAAGACTCCATCTTGTTGGTGGGGGTGAGGAATGTGTGGAAAGACACCCTGCTCCCCAGCGCATCTTGTTCTCCACTTCTCCCAGGGTTTTTGGTTTAGTCTTTCGTTTGCTTCAGTTTTCCCTGCCCCATTCAGCAGTGGCTAAATGTATCTGCCTTTAGATGTGCTGCGACACACTTCCCTCTCTACCCTCCAGCTTCCACAGGTACAGCCTCTTCAGACCTGTGGGAGTTCGGAGTTACACAACTAAAGGGAAGCCCTTTGACCCAGCACATCAGGGAGCCACCAGACAGTCAAAACAACCACCCACCCACAGTTTTTTAGAATAAGGTGCATTGTGCCACCTTTAGTACTAGAAATACAGTTGTCTCCAAGGCAAAATGGGGAATAGAGTATGTGGCTGGAGTCAGTTAAAATGTCACAAATCCCTCTTACCCAGATTCAGCTGTCTGTCTTGATTAGGCATTCTCCTGTGGTCATAAACTTTTGATAACATTCCAGAGTTCCAATGAAGTTGATTCTGGTTTCGCCCCATTTACTTACTGTTTCTGCGAAGGGATGGAGTTTTGGAGTTCCTAGTCTCCACTACTTTCACTGACATCACTTCTTTTAAGTCCTTCTTAAGCACGTGTGTTCCCAGGTCTGTGCTAGGATGTGGGTGTGCAGTGAAGAATACAGCAGACATGGTCCCCACCCTCATGGAGCTGTCTGTCTCAGGCTGTTCCCATGAAATGAAGATTTACTTCTTGACCTGACTGTTGGAAATAGATGCTCGGTGCCGCAAAGAAAAATTAGCACTGAGACAAAGGATTCTTCAGCAATGCAGTTTTTACTTCCTGGACTGCAGGAAAGGGTACCCATGCTAGCCATCATGCCACAAGAATACAATGAACAAAGGAAAACACACAGATTTATTTTTTACACCTTTGGGGTTGTCCTTACTGCTATGTCTGATCTCCTTTGGCTGTAGCCAGACCTCACAATCTAAACTAAAACCCAATTGGCTAACAACTTAAAACTTAGGTAAAAGCAACGGAGAGCTGGGACATGCCTGTGAGCACATCCAGCGCAGATATCTTGGTTAAAGTACAATGACATAGAATGTACTACGTGCCTGTAAGCATGGCATCTCCGACACCTACCTAGGATAGGGCTTAACAAAGTTATTAGCAAACTGATTCTTTAACAAGAAGGGGAACTTTTCGACTTCCCACACTGACGGTATATTCTGTGTAGTTAAATCTTGGGCTTTCAAATTCTGTACTGAAACCTGTACTGGGGCTCCCGGGACCAGTTATCCTGCAGCCACCCTAGCTATTGACTGAGGAGGCTTGTGAGTTTTTTTCTTTTTTTTAATTTTTGTGAAAGAGGATTACTGTATATATTCAATTTTGGCATAATGATTCCTCTGCTCCTGAAGTCACACCTCTTCACCTTCATAAGTACTGATTTCAACTTCATGGGGGAGCTTATCTGCTGCACAGACCCCTACATCATGTGCCTTTTCTCCATGTACAGGGAACCAAGTTGATAAACCTAGTCTGATCTCCCATTTGGAGCAAGAAGATAAATTGATGACCGAAGAGAGAGGAATTGTCCCAGGTACCCGACCAGGTGAGCACCAGGTGGATATAAATCATTGCGAGGAACAGGTCTGGCCAGGGAGTGAGAAGTTGGGAGTATTATAATACATTAGGAAATATCAGGGAGAGAACTGCATAAGTGCCCCTTTTCCCAACAAGGCCAAGAACGTTTGGTCTGAGGCTCACGTACCTTCATTACTTTACCTTTCAGCCTGTCATCTCATACTTTACTTTGGCCTCAGGAGAGAAAAAAAAAAAAAAAAAGACATGTCTTAGGCGGGCACGGTGGCTCCCCGCTGTAATCCCAGCACTTTAGGAAGCTGAGGCGGGTGGATCACAAGGTCAGAAGATCGAGACCATCCTGGCTAACACAATGAAACCCTGTCTGTACTAAAAGTACAAAAAAGTAGCCGGGCGTGGTGGTGCGTGCCTATAATCCCAGCTACTTGGGAGGCTGTGCTGTACCCAAAGCGAGTTTAAAACAGAAGCACCACACAGAGTTTCTTGAGAGTCCGTTTAATGCCGGTGTCCTAAAGTCAGCTGTTGCTCAAACCTCTCAGCCCCGAACAAAAGGCAGACAACATTTTTATACCTTTGTGGGGTTAGGGGGTGGAACACAAATTGTTACAGAAGCAGAAAGAGCAGGTTAGGGGAGGGGGGACCTAACAGCAAAGATTCTATTTAAAGTCCAAGCAGGATGTGGGGTAGGCAGTGACACTGCTGCAGGTACAGGATATGTGGGCCAGTGGGCCGTGTTTCTCAGAAAAACAGGTTACAAAATACCAGGTGCCTCAGGCTACAGAGTTTCAGGAACAAAGTGCTCTACAGAGCTCAGGGTGGTTAGAATGGAGTTAACAGGATTGCTTAAAATGGAGTCACCATAGACAGGCTAGATTATGTCATTCCCCACTGATGTTTTGGCAGAATCAAATCATGGATTCCTCAGTGTCATCTACAGGATGGTAGTGGGTTCTGAGGTACATGAGGCTGACAGGCTGTGGGCTGCCTAATGAATTTTAGGAGCCAGTTTAGTATGCATGGTCCAAAAGTTAGGCCTAAAAGGAGAAGAAGTAGGGGGCCTGCCAGCCTGGTGATCAGGGTCGGGAGCCAGGGCTTCCAGTTAAACAGTCCCTGATACCAGGGAGTATTACTCTTCTGCTCTCGGCAGCGTTTGTCTAAGTTATCCCTGACTCTTTGGAGAGTATCTCTGATGACTCCAGACTTGTTGGCATAGAAACAACAGCTTTACCCTAATGCAGCACAGAGTCTTCCTTGGGACAGAAACAATCTAAACCTCAGTGGTTTTGAAGCACCACCTTGGCTAGGGAATCTGATTGGGCATCCAGCATGTTTATGGCTGACTGAATTTCTTCTAGATCAGTATCAATGCGATGGGAGAATGACACCAGTGCAGTTTCTCCTTGGATTAAAGCAGCAGTCCCCAGGGCAGTGCAGCCTGCTACACCAAGTCCTGCCAGGAGAGGCACTAGAGTCGGGGCCCTGTGGCTGAACCTGAAGTGTAGTCCGGCGGGCTGAAGAGGAGGCGTCCTTCTGGTCCGCTGTACGCTTATACTTGGGGAAGTACATGGACCAAGACACAGTTTGGGCCTTGTCTTCAGAGTTGTTCCATTTATGCAACGGGTGAGACTGGAGGTGCAGGCCAACCAGATGCCATTGGGAGCTCGACAGGACAATGAGGAGTTCATAACAGTGAGTAAAGACTGACTGCAAGTAGTCTGAAAGGGAAAAGCAGACAGGTTATATCCAGAGATGATTAAGCAGGATACATTTCCCGCAATATAACCTAGAGTGAGTAAGCGGGAAGGCTTTGTGCAGGGAGGAGATTCAAGTGGGGTAGGTTTTTCTGCTCCTACTGCCATATAGTATGGAGGTTTTGTCTTTAGGCACAGCCAACAGTCTTGAGCCAGTTCGGGTTGGGTGGTATTTAGAAGCTTATGCATGTCAGCAAGGATATACATTAGAATTGGGGCTAGATGAGGTTTAGGCCCGAGCCTAGAGACCACCCAGGGTGGGCCGGCTGAAATTTTTAACTGGGGATGGGGCTGGAACATAGGTTCCCCTAAGTCCATTATGGCCCAGTAGGTTTTGGCAGTCTCCAGTAGGTAAGGACCTTTTTTTGGATTACGAGCAGTTCCCAGATCCCATCCAGTTACATGTAGCCTGAGTCCCCAGGTCATCCCCATGGTCAAAAGAAGGCAAAGGGATTGTGGATAGTAGGTTTAGGGGGTTAGAGGATCCCATAGAGCATGTTTTTGGACGGGCAGCACAGGCTAAAGAGAGGGTTGAAGATTTTGTTGGTCCCCCGTGATAGGTGGCTAGGGTTACACGGGACCAATATGGGCAGAAATATTCATCTGCTTGCTGGCAGTTTACACCTGAGGAGTTTCCTGGACACATATAAAAGTCAATTGACTGAAGTTCCTTTTCCTCACTGTCAGATCTCCCACATCCCAGCCAAGGTATCCCGAGGTCACCCTGGGAGCCCCAACTGAAAAGAAGGCTGACTTCCGAGATTAGGGCAGACTAGAGGGAATAGGTGTGCTCTCTCTCATTTCTGCCCCCATCACCACGCACCAGTGTTGGGTCCCAGAGAGGCGCATCTACTCCTTCCACGCAGGACAAGTGGTCAGTAATACTACCTGGAAGGGGATGCTGTCCCACACAGAGTTAATCCTCTAAGTTGACCTGACTGCCCTAATCTCGTAGGCTTAAGGGATTAGGTCCTGGCTCAGGGACCCGTGTTGCTTGTTGAGTCTCCGTAGTGGACTTTGCGCGGGAGCAGTGGATCCAGATCGGGATACTGTTAACCTTCAAGCGGTTGGGGTTGCTAGGATCATGGTGTAGGGTCCCTTCCATGATGGGGTAAGTCCTTCCTTCTGGAACTTTGATATACATGAGGTCTCCTGGGTGGAAGGGATGACCAGATGTAGGCAGGTCAGAAGTAGGGGTCGAGTATGTTTCTCAAACAAGTGGCTGGATAAAGTCCTGTACCTGTTGGAGAGACTGTAAGTACTGTAACAGGTTAGCATGAGAGATTTCTGCCAAATGGACATCCTTCAGCCTTGCTAGAATGTGTGGTGCTCTACCAGACATTACTTTTGTACAGGGTGAATTGCCCGATAAGGGGAGCATCTAGTTCTAAGGAGTGTGAGGAGAAGGAGGTTTGTCCAACTCTCGCCAGTCTCCAGAATGAGTTTTGTAAGGGTGTCCTTTAAAGTTCGGTTCATGCGTTCAACCTGTCCAGAGCTCTGGGCCTGTAGGCACAGTGTAGTTTCCATTGGACATTTAGTGCCTTACTGACCACTTGAGTAATGGACATGGGGAAGGCTGGACCGTTGTCTGACCCAATGGCAATTGGCAGCCTGTGCCAGGGAATGATTTCATTTATGTTTATTACTGTGGATGCAGTTTCATTTCGAGTGGCAAATGCCTCAGTCCATCCAGAAAAGGTATCCACCATCACCAGGAGATGCTTAGATCCTGCCCGGTGTGGTTTTATTTCTGTAAAGTCTATTTCCCACCTTTCTCCTGGGCTGCATCCTTGGAGGCAGCGGCCCAGTTCAGGTTTGGGACCTTGCCCGGCGTTTACTTGTGCACAGGCAACGCGGCTATAAGCGGTCAGTACAGTTAAGTCCGGAAGGTGGGGGATTTTGAAGCACCCCATAAAAGCTGAGCCAACTTGGTTCCTCGCAGGTGAGTGGTGGAATGAAGTTGGCCGACTAGGGCCTGTCCGAGGGACTCAGGCAGGAAGATTCTCAAGTCCGGCAGGATCCACCATCCATTTTGGTTTTTGTTGGCCTGAAGATCTGATGCTTGCTTTTCTTCCTCTGGAGAATATGTTGGATGGTTGGGCAGCTCTGGCTAGGGTAGGATACGACTGGCAACAGAGTCAGTGGGGGTGACAGGAAGCATAGCTGCTTCACAGGCTGCAGAGTCTGCCTTCTGGTTTCCCCAGGCAATACTCATGTTTCTCTCTGGTGTTCTTTGCAGTGGATTACAGCGACCTGACAGGAAGCCATGTGGCCATGTGGCCAGGATTTCCTCTTTGTTTCTGATATTTTTCCTGCAGAGGTAAGTAATCCCCTCTCCTGGTATATGGCCCCATGTACATGTACAGTAGCAAAGGCATACCGACTGTCATTGTAGATGTTTACTTGCTTGTCTTTGGCCCTGGGTAAGGGCTACTAGTTCAGCCTTTTGTGCGGAGGTGCCATCCGGTAGTGCTTGGGCCCAAATAATATTGGTGTCTGTTGTGATAGCTGCACCGGCACTGCTTCCATTGGTGAACAGAGTGGCGTCTGCCTGGTCCAGAGGGGTATCTTGCAAGTCTGGCCTACTGGTCTTAGTGACCTCAAGTATTTCTTGGCAGTCATGAATGGGAGCAGAGAAGTCTGGGTCTGGGAGCAAAGTTGCCAGATTCAAGCAGCATGCAGGATGGAAAGTCAGCCTGGGTTGGTCCAGTAGCAGGCTTTGGTACTGTAAGATCCGTGAGTTTGACATCCATTTTCCCGAGGCACTCCTGAGCAGAGTTGCCACTGCATGGGGTGCCGTAAGGGTCAGTTCTTGGCCCAAGGTTAACTTACTGGTTTCCCGGACCAAACTTGGAGTAGCTGCCACTGCCCACAGGCAGCTTGGCCAACCTGAAGCCACTGGGTCCAATTTTTTTGATAAGTAGGTGTCTGGCCGCCACCATGGTCCCAGGGACTGGGTGAGGACTCCCTTGGCCATGCCCTTGTTTTCATGGACAAACAGGTGGAAAGGTTTTGACACATCAGGGAGTGCCAAAGCCAGTGATTCAGTGAGAGCCCTTTTTAAGTTCTGGAAGGCCCGTTCCTCTGTCTCAGTGTAAACCAGCTCTCTGCTTCCACTGGTCACGGTGTAGAGGGGCTTTGCGATTTCTGTGAACCCTGGAAGCCAGAGGCGGCAGTACCCTGCTGCCCCCAGGAATTCCCACAACTGTTTTTTTGTGGTAGGAGTTGGAATTTGCAAGATAGCCTGTTTTCGAGCATTGGAAAGTGCTCGCTTTCCCTTGGTGAGTTCACATCCTAAGTAAAGTACCTTCTGGAGGCAGACTTGGGCCTTTTTGCCGAGACTTGTATCCAAGCCCTTGGAGGAGACACAGCAAGTCTTTTGTATGTTGTAGGCAGCTGTTGGCCGTTTCCGTGGCCAGCAGCGAGTCATCTACATACTGGAGAAGGGTGCAGTCTGGATGGCTGGCTCAGAAAGGCACTAGGTTCTGTTGGAGAACATCTCCAAAAAGGGTAGGAGAATTCTTGAACCCCTGGGATAAGCGGGTCCAAGTAAGTTGGGTGGTGTCTCCTGAGTTTGGATCTGTCCATTTGAAAGCACAGATTGGCTGGCTGCTGGCAGCCAAGGGGATGGCAAAGAAGGTGTCCTTTAAGTCCCAAACAGTGTATACTGTATGGTTTGGCGGGAGCAGGCTGAGGAGGATGTATGGGTTCGGGACAGTCGGGTGAACAGTGACTAGACTGCTTGTTAACATCCTGCAAATCCTGGACCAGCCGATAGTCATTGGTGCCAGGCTTCTTTACTGGCAGGAATGGAGTATTCCAGGCCGCTTTGCAGTAGCCACTGTACGTGGGGACTTCCGCCTTCCCTGGCTTTTTGACTCATGGGATACTGTTTTACTTGTACCAGTAGAGCTGTAGCCAACAACTCCACTGTCCCAGGGGGTTTGATTCCGCCCAAAAGTGGGGAAGCTAGGCCTCTAATTCCAGCATAAGTGAGCCGTTTTCTGAGGTTATGGCTGGGGCGTTTAAAACCAGGAGGTATTCTTCTGACACAGGGGTGGTCAGTAAGAGGTGGGTAGTTGATGAATCCTGGTCTTCTAAGTTGAGATGAGTTCCTCGGGTTAAGAAAGAGATAGAGGCTTGCAGTTTATGGAGTAGGTATCTTCCCATTAGGGGATACGGGCACTCCGAAACTACCAAGAAGGAATGAGTTAGTCTTTCCTGGCCTAGGTTTACTTCTGGGTAGCTGCAGATAGTCCCTGTGGCCCCTTGAACTGCTCCTTTTGTGATTGGTGACCTGGCCCAAAGGTGTTTTTGATACTCAGCATTCTGCTCCAGCTTCAATTAAAAATTTTACAGGGTGACCCCATACTGTGGTGCTGACCATGGGCTCCTGGGGGCCAAGCAAGAATGAGCCCCAGCCCTATCAATCTAGCTCCTCCAAGGCTAGCAATTTTTTGGGTTTTTTTTTTGGTTCCTTGTCTTTTGGGGCACTTATTTTTCACTGGAGCAGTGCTCGGGCCCCCAGCTGACGGCCCTTGTTCTTTTTGTTGATTTGTTGGGGAAGGGGTCTTCCCTGTGCCTCCTGGAGGGCAGCCACCAAAATTTTTGCCTGTCTTTTGGAAGCCTTGTCACAAGCAGCTTGGGCTGCCTGTTTTTCCCTGTTATCAAACAAACACCTTTTGGGCTATTTCTAAAAGTTATGTGATACTCATTCCAGCAAATCCCTCCAGCTTTTGTAATTTTCTCCAGATGTCTGGGGCTGCCTGAGTTACAGAAGCCAAATTTAAAGCGCTTCTTTTTTGGGTGCAGCCAGATCAAATGGGGTGTTAAGTATGATAGGCCTCCTGGAGACGCCCCTGGAAACTCATTGGTCCCCTGGACCACTTCTGTGGTTTTAGATAAATTCATAGGCTTCCATGCAGCTCCCTTAATACCTGAGAGAAGATACTGGTGGAAGTTGTCCAAAGCCCTTCTCCCCGCCGAGTTAGGGTCCAGTCTGGTCTGGTTGAGGGGAAAACTTCCTCCAACCGGTTCCTGCCCTCCTCTTCAGGTTGGCCAGTGGAGGTGAAGTGTTTCCCTGCTTCCCTTCAGATACGGTCGCTGTCCTCTGCAGTAAAAAGAGTGGAGGTTTTGCTGCCAGTCATCCCAAGTAGAACAATGAGTCTGGAGTATGGATTCCACCAGGTCAGAAGCAGGTTCTGAGCTCTCCAATTATGTAAATCAGAGGTGGAAAATGGGACATAAACCAAAAATGGGGTTGACTGTTCACCACCAGCCGGAGGCGGTGCCTCCCTCAAAGGAAGTGGGGGAGCAGCCTCCACCTCCTGTTGTGGCCAAAGCCTGGAGGCCACAGGTGGTGATGCATTGGTGGGTACAGGAAAAGTAACGATGGGCAACAACGGGGTCGTAGAGCGGAGGGAGGATCAGGGGGAGACCTGTGTCCTCCCCAGACGGGGGCAGGACTGGAGGGGCCGAGGTGAAGAGGGTGGCAACCGAGTAGTATGGTTGAGTACCTTAGAGGCAGGGTTTTGAGCTGTGCAGGACTGCATCCACGGTGGTGGGTTCAGGACTAGCCTTAGCTACTGATCAATATACAGGAACTGGTTGGGGTGACCTGGGTTTCTTGTGACTACCCTTCAAACTGCCTGGACCATGTTAGGGCCTGCGTTCAGCCATCCCACGTTAACGGTTGGCCATTCTAATTCACACAGGGTTCAGAGCTGGCCCTTGGAGAGGTGGATTCCAGTGACATAATCTAGCCTGTCTATGGTGACTCCATTTTAAGCAATCCTGTTAACTCCATTCTAACCACCCTGAGCTCTGTAGAGCACTTTGTTCCTGAAACTCTGTAGCCTGAGGCACCTGGTATTTTGTAACCTGTTTTTCTGAGAAACACGGCCCACTGGCCCACATATCCTGTACCTGCAGCAGTGTCACTGCCTACCCCACATCCTGCTTGACAAACAACTTTAAATAGAATCTTTGCTGTTAGGTCCCCCCTCCCCTAACCTGCTCTTTCTGCTTCTGTAACAATTTGTCTTCTACCCCCTAACCCCGCAAAGGTATAAAAACGTCTGCCTTTTGTTCAGGGCTGAGAGGTTTGAGCAACAGCTGACTCTTGGACACCGGCATTAAACAGACTCTCAACGAACTCAGTGTGGTGCTTCTGTTAAACTTGCTCTGGGTACAACAGCTGAGGCAGGAGAATCTCTTGACCCGGGAGGCGGAGGTTGGAGTGAGCTGAGATTGCGCCATTGCACTCCAGCCCGGGCGACAGACTCCGTCTCAAAAAAAAAAAAAAAAAAGACACATCTCTTTTTCTTAAATGTAAGTCTCCTATGAGTTCTTTGAGCAGTTTCAGTCCACCTTGCCTTCCTGACAGTTTCTTCATTTTGTCAACATCAATCTCTATCTTGCTAGAATCTTTATTAAACATTGCCTAAAATTTTCACGCCCGTATCCCGTTTGTTGAATGCCTTCTCAAAAGCCCTCATCTCAGATTCTGCCTTCACTCATATATGCATTTTACCATTTCACCATCAACTTAAAATTGCCACTTTCCTATCAACTTAAATTTCTTTTTAACTTGTTTCAGATGTGGAGACTCCACTTGAAGCCAGCGGGTTACCTTCTAAGCTACATGTTTTTCAAAAAGAACAATCTAGAAATACGAAAATGGTAAGACTAACATGGGTGGTTTCTGGCATTTCATGGTAGGAGAATGCTCTACATGAGAAAAGCCACAAAGAGTGGCTTTATTAAATAGTTATTAAAGGAAAGTGTCATTTTTCCAAGAGAAAATAGTGTCTCTGGAGAGATACTGTGAAATTATTTAGAATTTGGAGAAAAGCATTAGCCCCAAACCCTTTCCTGAGAAGTCCCACAAGTAAATACATCCAGTAGTCTGAGTCAGATATTGGGTATTGGGTAAACAAAATAGCCAGGCGCAGTGGCTCACGCCTGTAATCCCAGCACTTTGGGAAGCCAGGGTGGGTGGAGCACCTGAGGTTAGGAGTTTGAGAACAGACTGGCCAACATAGTGATACCTCATCTCTGCTAAAAATACAAAAATATTAGCTGGGCATGGTGGCACAAGCCTGTACTCCCAGCTGCTTGGGAGGCTGAGGCAGGAGAATCACTTGAACCCAGGAGATGGAGGTTGCAGTGAGCCAAGATCATGCCATTGCACTCCAGACTGGGTGACAAGAGCGAAACTTCATCTCCAAAACAAAAACAAAAAAAAGAAAAATTAGCCTTAAACTTATTAGAAAAATGCACTATGAATATGATAAAGATGTGTAGAAAGAATCCATCTTTTTTAAATTCTCTGAATCAAACTGACAGAAGCCATGTACCAGCACACTCATAGTGGCAAAAACATTAATTCTAAAACCATGATACACAACAGAATTCCTGGGAGAGGGACCCATGACAGTATTCAGTGCTAAAAATATTATAAATTGTACTTACTAGTCATCTCTTAATCAACAGGAGACAAATCATCTTGGAGCAAAACTCAGCAAACGTAATCAGTGTTTTAAAGTCCTCAGCTCAAAATCTTCCCTTACACGGCACAAGAGGATTCCTACTGGAGAAAAACCCTATGACTGCAGTAAGTGGGGTAAATCCTACAGGACTAGATGTTACCTTGCTATTCATAAGAGAATCCACAATGGGGAGAAGCCCTATGAATGCAGTGACTGTAGGAAAGCCTTCATTAATTCCTCATCCCTCAGAATGCACTGGAGAATTCACACTGGAGAAAAACCCTACAAATGTAACCGGCGTTTTCGTAAGTTCCGCACTCTCTCTGTCTTCACAAGCCACAAGAGAGCTCATACGGGGGAGAATCATTATGTATGTAATCAGTGTGGAAAGGCTTTCCGCACGAGGTCGTCTCTTTCCACAGCAGAATTCACACAGGGGAGAAACCTTACGAATGTCACGATTGTGGGAAAACTTTCATGAGGCGCACAAATCTGACACAACTCATACTGGAGAAAAACCCTACAAATGTAATGTGTGTGGAATATCTTTCACCCATAGATTTTCTCTTACAGTACACAGGAGAGTACATAATGGAGAGAAACCCTATAAATGCAATTACTGTGGAAAAGCCTTTAATGTTCTCTCGTCAGTTAAGAAACACATGAGAACGCACACTAGAGAAAAGCCCCATGAATGTAATCATTGTGAGAAATCCTTTGCTACTAACTCTAACCTTTCTTTGTATAAGAGAATACATAATAGACAATTGTGAATTCAAAAACTGTGGGGGAAAGCATTTGTTGATCTTTCATCCTCAGATAACATGAGAGAACCCCGACCAGATATAGGAATTACTTCCCACTGTGTAACAAATTACCCCCCAAAATTTTGTGGCTTCCAACAACAAAACTTGTCACAATTTTTGTAAGTAATTGAGAAACAACATAGCTCTGTAGTTCCTCTTCAGGATCTCGCATGAGGTTACAGTCCAAATGTCAGCAGAGCCATAATCATCCAGAATTTGTCCTGATGGAAGGTCCACTTCCAAAACGGCTCACTCACATGCCTGACAAGTTCATGCTAGCTGTTTTTAAGGGACCTACACTTCCAAATCATGTAGGCCTCTCAACAGGGCTAAGTTTCTTTATGGCAGCAAGTTCTCCCCAAAGCCAGTTATCTAAAGAAGCCAATACATCATAATGTCTTTTATGACCTAGCTTCAGAAAGATAGGTTTTCATGTCCCTGTTATATTGGTCACACACACCAATCCTGATACAGTTTGGAAGAAGACTCCAGGAGGTATAAACAGCAGACATTGGGAACCATCTGCAAAGTCTGCCATGGAATCAGTGGAGGAAAGCCTTCAGCAGACCCTATGTCTCTTTTTTTTTTTTTTTGGAGACAATGTCTCACTCTGTCACCCAGGCCGGAGTGCAGTGGTGTGATCACAGCTCACTGCAACCTCCACTTCCTGGTCTCAAGTCATCCTGCCACAGCCTGCAGTGTAGCAATGGGACTACAGGTGCATGCCACCACGCCTGGCTAATTTTTTTTTTTTTTTAAACTAGAAAGAGGGTTTTGCCGTGTTACCCAGGCAAGTCTCAAACTCCTAGATTCAAGCAGTCCTTTCATCCTGGCCTCCAAAAGTACTGGGATTACAGGTGTGAGCCACCACATCCAGCCAACCCTTCACCTTCTAACCTGGTCAACATGGAGTAGCATTCAATAACCCACAGGTTAACTCACTGTAGAGAGAAACCTTATGAGTGTAATCTGTATTGTTGTAAAACCTTGAGGTCAAACTCTTTCCCCCTACTTAAAAAGTTACCTACTGGAGAGCTGCCCAGGGAACACAGTAGCTGTGGGAACGCCTTTGGTGATGGCTCCAGGGAGTCACATGGCAACTCACAATAAGGTGAAGCCCTATGTGTGGCATCAAAATGGAAGAGCATTCAGGGCACACTCATTCCTGAAGTCACATTTCAGAAATCATACAACAGAGGAGTATGTTGAGTATACACAGTGTTGAAAAGCCAACACCACAAGCAGTCATATTACTAAGCACAAGACAATGTGGTTTGGTACGATATAAAAGCCTTGAATATTCTCTCAGTTTTTAAGAAGATTCATACCAGAAAGACCAATGAATTCCATCAGGTTTTTACATTTTTTAGAAACCTAACTCAGTGTAAAGAAACTACTGTTTTTGAATACAGAGTCTGACTCTGTTGCCCAGGCTGGATGGAGTACAGTAGCACAATCTCAGCACAATGCAAACCTCCACCTCCCCGGCTCAAGCAATTCTCCTGCCTCACTGCCTCAGCCTCCCAAGTAGTGGGGATTACTGGCGCCTGGCACTATGCCCCGCTAATTTTTTGTATTTTAGTAGAGATGGGGTTTCACCATGTTGCCCAGGCTGGTCTCGAACTCCTGACCTCATGATCCCCCCACCTTGGCTTCCCAAAGTGCTGGGATTACAGGTCTGAGCCACCATGCCCAGCCACTTTTTTAAGAGAGGATTTCATCTGAGCCCAGGCTGGATTGTGGTGGTGTTATCTTGGCTTATTGCAACTTCTATCTCCAGGGCTCAAGGGATCCTCCCACCTCAGTCTCCTAAGTAGCTGGGACTACAGGCATGCATGACCATGCCCCATTTTTGTAAAGATGGGTTTTCACCATGTTGCCAGGGCTGCTCTCAAACAACTGGGCTCAAGTAATCTACCTCCTCAGCCTCCCAAAGTGCTGGGAATACAGGAATGACCCACCACACCCAGCCAGAACTTGTTAGGATAAAGGATGAGAGAAAATTTTCAGTGATACTTCTTCCATTAGGAAAGATAGGAAATGTTCCTTGGCTGCAATACCCATGAGTATTAATTTTGGAAAAATTTTCAGTGATTTCTCCCTTTATACATGAGAGAACTTATATAGAGGAAGCTGTAGGAATGTAATCAATGTTAGGATGCCTCAGCTCTTAACTGAGTGGCCACACAGTAATTTATACTGAGAACAAAAGGCATAAATGCTTCATCAGTATCTCATTTGTAGGTTGGGCCACTAGCTCATTAATTTTTAGCCTTTTTGTTTTAATATAAGCATTTATGGCTATAGCTGTCCTGAAAATCTTATACCATTTTATATGTAGTGTATTCTAAAACATCAATACACCAAATATTCAAAAAGGCATTTCCAAATAGCTCCTGAGTGATCTAGTTTGTTAAAATAGAAAATTGACAATATTTGGTATTTTTTTTCTAATTTAATAGCATTTTATCGAGTACATGGACTTTCTTATTTTGATAGTCCTAATATAGCAAATACTGTTTCCTTCTCACTGTTCATTCTCCCTACTTAAAGAAAAAACAATTTTATTCAAGTTGTCAGTGAGCAGTATTGACCATACATACAGTGGGGCTGGGTGCAGTGGCTCATGCCTGTAATCCCAGCACTTTGGGAGGCTGAAGGGGGCAGATCCCCTGAGGTCAGGAGTTCAAGACCAGCCTGGCCAACATGGTCAAAACTCAAAAAAAAAAAAAAAAAAAAAGGGCAAGGCATGGTGACAGGTGCCTGTAATCCCAGCTACTCAGGAGGCTGAGGCAAGAGAATCACTTGAGCCTGGGAGGCGGAAGTTGCAGTGAGCCGAGATCACACTACCACACTCCAGCTTGGGCAACAGAGTGAGACTGCATCTCAGAAGAAAATGTTCAATGTAATAGGCCTTCCTGAAGGTTAGACAGGATTTGTCCCACTCTGCTGGCTGTAAGAAGTAGGAATAAGGCCCTGGGTGACACACCATCTGGCTTGTTCTCATCTATTTTTATTCTTTCAGAAAGTGGACACAAGCCATAGAGTTAGAACAGCCTTTTTTTTCACCACAGCGGTGAAAAATGCAGAAAAATCACAATAATTTGAGTTCTTCAAAAACCTTTGGGCGCATTGCCTCTATTCTGTACATTGCTAGACTTCTTACATGATTACGAGTAACCATTAACTGGTTAAAACCAAAGTGTGTGTGTGTGTGTGTGTGTGTGTGTGTGTGCGCGCGCGCGCGTGCGCTTTTGAGGGGAGGGGTTCTGTTAGCTTCCAGGTGAATGCAATATCTGTTTATCCTGTTTATTGATCTATTTTTGTAAGTGCTCCATGATTCTTTGAAAACAGTATACTATATATGCTTTAATTTTTGGATACAGATGGACATACGTACTCAAACTAGTTGTTTTTCAATATGTACTTTAAATTTTTCTCTCCACCTGACTTAGTTGTATATTAAAGTCTTCCATGAGGATAGTGGATTAACAAATGCTTTCTATAATTCTGTCATTTTTGCTTTATATATGTTTATGTGTAATGTAACTAGGTGTATAGAGGTTTAGATACGTAGGGGCCATACCTTTTTCACAGCAAAGAATTTTAATATTAAAATACATTAACAAAAAAAGACCAAACATTTAGCTAGCCCATCCTATAGACCAGGCACTCTTCAAAAGTGCCTTATGAATATTAACTACATACTCACTACAAGCTTGCAAAGTATGTGCTATTACTATCTCCAACTTACAAATGGGAAAACTGGCACGGAATGTTTAGGTTGCTTGCCTGAATTCACAAGCTAGTAAGTGGTACAGCACAGACTGGAATCCAGACACTTCGTGCTCATAACCGCTGTCCTATTTATTGAGTATTTGTATTTATTCTACGTGGCTAAGCACTGTTTGAGCAGTGACTGAAACTCAAGTTTTGGCGGTGACACAATTTCTCCCAACAGGGAGGGGTGGATTTTTAGAAAAATCAACAATATGGCGAGGCACAGTGGCTCACGCCTGTAATACCAGCACTTTGGGAGGCCGGCAGGTGTATCACAAGGTCAGGGGATCAAGACCATCCTGGCTAACACAAGGAAACCCTGTCTCTACTAAAAATACCAAAAATTAGCTGGGCACGGCGGCACCAACTTGTAGTCCCAGCTACTCGGGAGGGTGAGTCAGGAGAATCACTTTAATCCGGAAGGCAGAGGTTGCAGTGAGCCGAGATCACGCCACTGCACTCCAACCTGGCCACGATGCAAGACTGTCTCAAAAAAACAAAAAACAAGCCTGTAGATTTTTAACACTTTTATATGTCTAATTTTTTTTCTTTTACGACAAAGTCTCACTCTGATGCACAGCCTGGTCTAATTCTTTTTTTTTGAGAGGGAGCCTCACTCATTGCCTAGGTTTGGCTCACTGCAACCTCCTCCCGGGTTGAAGCGATTCTCCTGCCTCAGCCTCCAAGTAGCTGGGATTACAGGCATGCATCACCACACCAGGCTAATTTTTGTATTTTTAGTAGAGACCGGGTTTCGCCATGGTGGTCAGGCTGGTCTCGAACTCCTGACTTCAAGGTATCCACCCACCTCGGCCTCCCAAAGTGTTGGGATTATAGGCATGAGCCAACATGCCCAGCCCTAATATTTTTTTTTCAAATAAAAAGTTTTAAATCACGTTGAACTAGTCCATTAAAACTAGAGATGACAGAAGGCATGGCAAGCAATTTCCTAGTCCCCCTAAGACTTGAGATTGTGGAAGCCCCGGCAAGTGATTCTCACAATCTGCATACAGCAGGAGAGCTGGCAGAAGCCCTAGCAGGTAAACCACCAGTCACCCCCAAAACAAAAGGCAACAGGACGTCAGATCACCCCTCAATCACTTACAAACACAAAAGGTGGATTCCAGGCTGGGTGCGGAGGCTCACGTCTGTAATCCCAGCATTTTGGGAGGCCGAGGCAGGTAGATCACAAGGTC